ACCCTTTCTAATGCACCCTAGGATGCCACTGGCCTTCTTGGCCACCAGGGCACATTGCTGGCTCATGGTCATCCTCCTATCCACCAGGACCCCCAGGTCCCTTTCCCCTTCACTACTGTCCAGCAGGTCAGCCCCCAGCCTGTACTGCTACATGGGGTTGTTCTTCCCCAGATGCAAGACTCTACACTTGCCCTTGTCGAATTTCGTCAAGTTTCTCTCCGCCCAACTCTCCAGCCTGTCCAGGTCTCGCTGAATGGCAACACAGCCCTCTGGTGTGTCAGCCACTCCTCCCAGTTTAGTATCATCAGTGAACTTGCTGAGGGTACATTCAGTTCCCTCATCCAGGTCGTTGATGAAAATAGTAAACAGCACTGGTGCCAGCACCGACCCCTGAGGGACTCCACTAGTCACAGACCTCCAGCTAGATTCTGCCCCATTAACCACAACTCTCTGCCTTCTTCCTCCCAACCAGTTCTTGATCCATCTCACTACCTGATCACCAAGCCCACACTTCCTTAGCTTATCTATGAGGATGCTGTGGGAGACAGTATCAAATGCCTTACTGAAATCAAGAAAAACCACATCTACCGCTCTACCATCATCCAGCCACCTAGTTACTTCCTCATAGAAGGCTATAAGGTTGGTCAAACATGACTTCCCCTTGGTAAAGCCATGTTGGCTGCTCTTAATGACCCCCTCATCCTTGATATGCCTAGAGATGGTGTCAAGAATTAGTTGTTCCATCACCTTTCCAGGGATGGAGGTAAGGCTGACCGGTCTGTAATTACCTAGGTCCTCCTTCTTGCCCTTCTTATAGACTGGCGTGGCATTTGCCATCCTCCAATCCTCAGGCACCTCTCCTGTTTCCCACGACTTACCAAAGATGATGGAGAGTGGCCCAGCAATGACCTCCGCCAGCTCCCTCAGCACCCGCGGGTGTATTCCATCCGGACCCATCGATTTATAGATGTCCAGATTGCTTAACTGATCCCTAACCCAATCCTCATCCACCAAAGCAAACTCCTCCTTTATCCTGACTCCTTCCGGGGCTATAGGAATCTGGGTCCCCCGGGGAGAGTCTGCAGGAGTAAAGACAGAGGCAAAGAAGGCATTCAGCACCTCTGCCTTCTTTATATCCTCTGTCTGCAGGGCACCCACCTCGTTCAGCAGTGGGCCTATATTGCCTCTTGTGTTAGCTTTATCTGCTATGTATTTGAAGAAGCCCTTTCTATTGTCCTTGACCCAACTTGCCAGATTAAGTTCCAAGGAGGCTTTAGCTGTCCTAATTGCCTCCCTACATCCTCTAACAACTGCCCTATATTCCTCCCAAGTGGCCAGCCCCTCCTTCCATAATCCATAGATTCTCTTTTTCCATACGAGTTTGCCCAGCAGTTCCTTGTTTAACCATGCTGGTCTCCTGGCTCCCCTCCTTGACTTCCTACTCATTGGGACACTCTGATCCTGAGCTTTGAAGAAGTGGTCCTTGAATGCTGACCAACTATCTTGAGCCCCTTTACCACCTAGTACCCTTTGCCATGATACTTCCCTTAGCAATTGACTGAAGAAGCCAACGTTTGCCCTTCGGAAATCCAGAAGCGTGTGGACACACATGAGACAACATCAGAGAAAGAGGCTGTAGGATTGGGATTCCAGGTAGCAAGCTGCTCCATCCGCCCCAGATGTTAGCTTCCCTTTTTCTTGCTTTGTTTTAAAAGAACAATCAAATGGTTTAAAACACCACTAATGCCACCTTATTAGAGTAATTCATTAAGACTACGTAGGGTACACATGTCCATGATTTGAACACTGCTACCTCTGGGTTGTTTTTTTTTGCTGTAATGAAGATACACCATCAGCCTGTAAGCAGACAATGAAAAACACTGACAAATTCTTCTCCAAGCTTAATGTGCAAACCCTTAAATAACAGCTTTCCATCCCAATCAGATATATCCTATGAGAAGGTGATTCCTTAACTCCTTTGTTAAGCTATCTCACTTCCGTTGCTGCCGTGGAGCATATAATAACTCATATCTTATGTGCCATCTTTGACCTAGAAAGACTGGCAGCTGTTAAGGGAATCGCTGGGTTTTTTGGGGAAGCATGAAAAGGTTTTTAGCACATAAACCAAATTTATGAACAGATATTGCCCTGGAGAATAGAACTGTTTATGTTTTAGCATCCCAGCTGTCAGTGGCGCACAGTTACTTGGGCCTGTATTAATCCCCTGAAAAGGCTGAGCATCTTCACTGAAATAGTTTATAATTGACAGCCTTCATCTGGCGCTGAATATGGAGAATAATTCTCTCCATAAGGAGCACACTGTGCTGACACTAATCTGTTCTGTTGTCATCTCCCTTTATTATCAACGTCTGCATTGTTTTTTTTCCAGCAGCACTGAAGAACACAAATAGGAAGCGTCTAATTGAAAAAGGTAAGTAATCAAAAAGCCAATTAATCATCCAGATGAGCTCTGACACTCCATGATGCAACAGACAGAAATACCGCATACAGAACTCGAGTACCTTTAAAGTGTGCTTATTTGATGTAAGAATCATCTGAGAATGTCATTAGCATTCCCTGTCACAGGTGACAGACTCGTACTGCACATTTCTTCACCCCGGTGTTACTTCTCTACTCTCCACTTACTCCATGCTCCCATCCTGCCTCCCGTTCCCATCTTTTCCCTGCTCAACAACTCATAGGCTGACTCCCACTGAAATCAGGACAAGTTCAGGAGGTTATTGTTATTAGGCTCTGTAATTTCCAGCACGTTAAACCTTTCCAGAGCTTTTCTTCCTAAAGCTCTATTTCTATCCAAATGCTCAAAAAGCACCAACACAGCATCTCACAAATGACCTTAGTAATGGCTGCAGGCCCAGCAGCAGTGAAGCTGGGATTGCAGGAGACACGACCCCTCCGCTTTTGCAAGTTTTCATTCTATAATCTCCCCATCTCTGAAAAGTTCAAAGTTAGATTTGGAGCACAGAGTTCACCTCCTTTTAAAGCTCAAACAACTCTTTCTTAGCGTAGAAGAGATATGCACATGTACTCCAAAACCAAACCGGATGACAACTTGGCAAAGCGAAGGTTTCTTAGCTTACAAATAAAGTCAGAATGAGAAGACAAATGTTAGTATTATGAAAGCTCCCGTCTGAAAACAGACCAAACATCATCCATGGCAGAAGACACTCAGCTCCAATCTGCCTGCTGCAATCCTGGAGACTTCCAAGTCCAAGAAGAAAAAACAAGAGATGGCAGAGTTCCTCTATTCCACACTACTTGGGGGGGGATGATGCTTCAGTAGTACTCAATACAGTTGTTTAAATTTAAAGCCCATTATCTCACTTGCACACAACAAGGATATATTGACACACATGTAAAAACATGATTCCACATTGCAAGTCTTCCCTTACTAAGGGCAACCAAAGACACTGTATCAGTGACCTACTTCAACATTAAAAATAGCTATGAATACAATCTTATTTAGTGCATAGCACCTTAAAAAGGTAAAAGAGAAGCTTTCAAATGAAGAATCACAGCTTATCACGCACCCTGCACTATGAATGACTGCCCAGAGAAGCTGTGGCTGCCCCATCCCTGGCAGTGTTCAAGGCCAGGTTGGACACAGGGGCTTGGAGCAAGCTGCTCTGGTGGAAGGTGTCCCTGCCTGCGGCAGGGGGTTGGAACTGGATGAGCTTTAAGGTCCCTTCCAGTACAAACCAGGCTGGGATTCTATGAATTACTCCACTGTAACTATAAAATGGAGGGCTGATAACTGATATCAGAGGTACAAACACCCCATAAGAAGCTACTCTGGATGAGATACTGAAGATGCTTTTTCCTCGAACACTAGCAAGTTATTTGGGAATAAAGGAAGGCATTCTGTAGAGGGGTTTTTGTGAAGGATCTTCATTTTAACTGCTTAAATAATGCACCATTTTAGAATCATTAAACTAATTTAATCTCATCCTTTCAAACTGTTTTTCATTGCCAAGAACATGGACTTCATTAATGTCATCTTCAAAAAGGTAGGACAAAACATGGAGACAGTATCTGATATGCCCTCTGTTTAAAATATTCATTAAGACTAATTATACACACTGATAATTCATGCAACATGCTCTTCTTCCTAATCCATAAAAACAAGGGCTTTTCTTCTATCCTACTAAATTGCATAAATGAATATAGATCTTGTTAATACTGTTTTCAAAACTAACTAGAAAGGAAATTCATATTAATCAACAATAGGTAGGCTCAGGATGAAGGCAGAGGGGTACAGGAAGAAAATGGATTCAGGCTGAAGATTACAACCAACCTGGGATCTGGAAAGTGATGACAGCAGTAATTATTTGACATTAACAACCTATAAAATAATACCCTATAAAGAATAAGAATGCTAAGAGCAATATGTTAAAATACTGTAAGCATGGCACACAGCTTATCAAGCTGTTTTGTTCAGTTTTGAGTCTATGGGAAAAAAAAAAGGCTTTTTAAAGCCTTTTAAAAAAGCATAGAAGTGCTTTTTAAATGTGGCATAAACAACTTCAAACTTTTCAACTCATTTAAGCTCTACATGAACTGGTGGCTTTGGGAGGAATCACTCCAACCAACGAGAACAACTGGATTTCAATGACAAATCAGTGTCTTATCTCCACACCTCACAGGTAATTTTAAGACTACTTGGTGATACTCACTTACACTGGCTCTTCATCAGTGCTACTACAAAAGTTACCTTGTTCGGATCATGTCTCTGTATGCAATTACTAGGACAGATAAAATCACACTGCAAAAGCGAGAACTTAGTGAAGCAAACAATATTCCCATCTTTAAATCTTATCAAGCCAGAAGCAGTAGCAGTCCATACAGAAACAAACCCCTCTGGCACAGCTTTAAGCTTGATCTCCTTAGAAAAGTCATCTTGTTTAACAGTAAAACATAACCAGAAAGTCAGCAGCGGAAAGGAACAGAAAACTCTTCATTAAAAGGGAGAAGAGGCTCACCCTTTCCTCCAGTCGAGCCAGCTGCTCTTTGTAGTAGGCATCGTGCTTCTTCAGTTCTCTGTCCTTCTCTTCCAGCTGCCTGGCCTAAAAAAAGAAAGAGAACCATAAAGCTGGATCAAGAAAGAGCCTCACTTGCAAAGCAAAACATCCACTATAAATTGTACCAGTAAGGAATGTAAGAACGATTGAGAACTGCAGTCTATTAGCTTTTGCCAAGCGGTACATTAATCAGATGATGATTGCTGCATTGAAAATGGAGAGAGATTGTCTATTGTACTGGGCTTTCTCCTTCCCCTCCACAGCTGTGCCACAGTTTGTCCAAATGCAGTTGGAAATGTCACGAAGACGGAACCAAGCACACTCATGCTGAGATGAGTATTTGGGTTTGGATTGGAATTAACTTTGCAGATCCCTCCTGAACTTGGGGAAACTTCCTCAAGCTACTGAAAACAAAGATATGTAGAGCTTGAATATTTAACTTGATTTGGTAAAGCTACAAGTGGGCATTTTTGACTTGAGAAAAGCTGAACTTGCATCCACCTATTTCTAAGCAGCGGTTATAAAGATTTTCTTTGTTGTAGCTGTTTTGCCTTTAAACCCCCAACTCTGGAATGCATTTAGCATGTGCTTAATTCTAAACACATAAATCTTTGGGAAGAAGCAAATGCCTATATATTGGCAAAAGCGGATCTAAAACATACATCTGAAACGCTGATGTCCTCTTGAAACAGCAATCCTGCCTCTGGTCGCTCTGAGATCAGCTGAAGTACCTGACTAAGCAAGTTCAAACCCTTTACTGTAGGATCATCCCCATGTGGGCCTACAAGAATGCTGGAGAGGGACTCGTAATCAGGGATGGTAGCATAGGACAAGGGGTGATGGGTTCAAAGTGAAACAGGGGAAGTTCAGGCTGGAGATAAGGCAGAAGCTCTTCCCTGTGAGGGTGCTGAGGCGCTGGCACAGGGTGCCCAGAGAAGTGGTGAATGCTTCATCCCTGGCAGCGTTCAAGGCCAGGATGGACAGAGCCTTGGGTGACGTGGCTGAGTGTGAAGTGTCCCTGCCCATGGCTGCGGGCTGGAAATGGATGATCTTAAGGTCCTTTCCAACCCTAACCATTCTATGATTCTATATCCAGTAACTTAAAATAACACAGAATAATTCTGAACATTTATCTTTTGAATACTAATATGAGCATTCATTTAAGAGATATTACCTGTAGCAGTACCGAGCAAGCTGACAGCTTTTTGGCTTTTCATCTGTAGTATGTACCAATATCTACTATTAAGGGGACTCGTTAAGTACCACGAAACACATTCAAAGAGCACACATGCCCACAGAATACATACAAAGCTCTGAGTTGTCCAGAGAAAATACTAGCCAAGTGTTTTTTAACAAGCTATGGAGGATTTAATGGTTAAATCACCAGCACAAATTCACTGCAGGCTTGGAATGTTTTAATAATAAACTACCTTAGTGACTAATAATTAAACTATCAGTGGTCATTACCACAACTGCCTGTTCAATAGTAGTCATTTACCTCTAACATATTATCTTCACACAGATACTGAGACTACAAAGCCAACTTCCTGTTTTAGCAGCATCAAAGGAGGAGATCCTGTCCCACTTGCAGCACTGTGTGCAGTTCCAGTGTCATCAGCATAAGAAGGACATGGAGCTGTTGGAGCAAGTCCAGAGGAGGCCCCAAGGATGAGCAGGGGCTGGAGCACTTCCCTTATGGAGACAGGCTGAGAACATTGGGGCTGTTGAGCCTGGGGAAGAGAAGCTGCGTGGAGACCTCAGAGCAACTTCCAGTGTCTGAAGGGGGCTCCCAGTCTTCATCAGGGACTGGAGTGATAGGACAAGGGGTGATGGGTTCAAAGTGAAACAGGGGAAGTTCAGATTAGATATGACTAAGTTGCTTAGTGTGAGGGTGGTGAGGCCCTGGTACAGGTTGCCCAAAGAAGTGGTAAATGCTCCATCCCTGGCAGTGTTCAAGGCCAGGCCGGACAGAGCCTTGGATAACATGGTCTAGTGTGTGATGTCCCTGCCCACGGCAGGGGGCTGGAACTGGATGATCTTAAGGTCCATTCCAACCAAAACCATTCTATGATTCTGTGATGTAAAATGCTAAACTGTTGTGCTTTTGCTACTACAGATCCAGACTGTAGAAGCGCATCAGAAATATTACACAATGTACTGTGCTGTACTTCCAGAGATACAAGACTTGATTCTCTTTGTCAAGATTAGGAGGTGGGCTTTGGTTTTGAAGGGGGTTTTGGTAAACAGCAAAGGAATAAAATGAAAACCGCGGATTTTTGGTTGTTCTTTGCTTTACTACTTACCTTTGCTTCTATATCCTGAAGCATGTAAAAAAAATAAATCAAAGTGTCCAATTAAATTTATTATATAATGGGGAATAGAAAGAATGGAAAACACATAATGCATCAAACATCTCTCTAACACAACACATTGCTGAAAACTACTTGGCAGTTGTTCTTTTTTAGCACAACTTCCCCCCTAATTCCAAAAAGCACAAAGCCAAGTTTTAATGCTACTTAGGTGAACCTTCTCCTCTGCCAACCACCCCAGCTTCAGTATAGTGCAATGAAGCACATGCTACAGCTCTCTTCAGCACCATTTAAATGAGCCTTTATTCACTAATTACAGGTTTTTACAAAGCTGATTAAACTAAATGTTCTGCAGCCTAATACCACGCTTTGGATTGATCACGGTTTGGCTTCTTCTAGATAATCCCTGTATGACCTCCCAGAGCTGATGGTTACAGAAACAGCTGGAAAATCACTGCAGATCGTGCCTCCCCAAAACCATCCTCTCCCAAATAGCTAAAGCACTACTTCAGTGCACTGCCATAGTTACCCATACATGAATATTTGATGCTTAACCACTTCATGAGCCCCCAAATGTTTGCGAACTCAAGAATATTCCTTTTGTGCAAATGGAGTTAAATAGGGCAGGGACAAAGAAAATGTGCAATTAATGTTCCATAACACTCAAGAGAACTTGGTTAAGTTTTAGTTCTTACAATTCAATAGTGCTTCACATGATTCTACTGATGCCCTGAAACCAAGCAGCAAAACTGACTTTGAAAGCCAGTAAGACAGAATAAAACCCATGCAAGGGCATCACAACTTAACTCACTCGCCCTATTACTGGTGACTCACAAGAGTAGAAATCTTCAGGGTGTCTACACACAACAGATCAAGGGCACACTAATGATGGAGGAGATGAAACACATCCTCTTCCCCTGAGTCCAGCTGAGTTTGAATTCTTCTCATCTGTGTCCTGCTTCCTGACCAAATCATATCATAGAATGGTTTGTGTTGGAAGGGACCTTAAACCTCATCCAGTTGCAACCCCTGCCACGGGCAGGGACACCTTCCACTAGAGCAGCTTGCTCCGAGCCCCTGTGTCCAACCTGGACTTGAACACTGCCAGCGATGGGGCAGTCACAGCTTCTCTGGGCACCCTGTGCCAGCGCCTCAGCACCCTCACAGGGAAGAGCTTCTGCCTAAGAGCTCAGCTCAGTCTCCCCTCTGGCAGGTTAAAGCCATTCCCCTGGCCCTACAGGCCCTTGTCCATTCAAATAAGATAAATGGATTTGATTAACAGTGTCTGATCACTCAATTTACATATATAAAAGACAGTATGAGCAGGAGAATGCAAATAACACCCATCTGGTGTTAAGTGCCCTGGAAAGTTTGGTTTATTCTGGAAACTGTTAGCTTTTTGGGTTGATATTTGGGTTTGGTTGCCTGACCCCTAGGATATCTAGTGATCGAAACAGATGGACTAAAGATATGGAGGCCAAGAAGTGAATTATAGTCATGCTGCCTATTACCCTGATCCTATCAAAGCTTTTATACCACTGATAAAGTAGAAATATTAGATTATAAGAATACTAAATAATACATTTATCCAATGGTCTCATTCCCTATAGTGTGAAAGGAATTGGAAGATTTGGTAGACCAGTAAGAAATCCAGAAATCAAAAAGCTTCCATAGAGCTACAGCCCTGGCATCTGTGCAGTAATGCAGCCACAGCAAAGTTCAAAAGATACAGTAAACAGAGGATGATTCATTTATACAGGAGACAATACAAAGATGCCAACGGGAGAGAATTCACTGCAGAAATAAAACCCTGTAAGGTAATAGCATATTTATGGGGCCACAGCAACATGAGCCCAGTGAATATCAATTAGCTGTAACAGAATAATTAACAGTAGCCATGTATTCAATTAGCTGAATGCTGCACTCGAGGTGTAAATGAGTTATTGGACCGGTTTCATTTCTTCTTCACAAAGTAACTCTACTAAACAAAGCGTCTGCTTGGGTGCTGTTTAGAAAAGAGCTTCCAAAAGTGACCTTTGAGAGGCAGCCCATCTTCCCATGAGTACCCAAAGTGAGAATCCCAACCCAGCTCACTGATGTGAAATACGGGTGCTTCAGAATCACTGGGATGTTGGGCTGAGGTCTAATGGCCAAGCTAGGGTTTCATTTTCAAAAGGAGTGTCTGGATTTAGGACAGCACTGGGATGAGTTTCCATCACCCCACAAGTGGGTGCCTGCCTCACACACTGCTGCAGGGACACTTGCAGAGCCGTGCCAAGCCAAACTCTTCTCATGCTGGATACAGCAGGTACACATGAGCTGATTATGAGCTGGCAGTGTGTCCTTGTGGCCAGGAGGGACAAGAGTATCCTGGGGTGCATCAGGAGGAGAGTGGCAGCAGGTCGAGGGAGGTGATCCTCACCCTCTACTCGGCCCTGGTGAGGCCACATCTGGAGCACTGTGTCCAGTTCTGGGCTCCCTGGGACAAGAGAGACAAGGAGCTGGTGGAGAGGCTCCAGTGGAGGTTACAGAAATGATCAGGGATCTGGAGCATCTTTCTTATGAGGAGAGATTGAGGGAGCTGGGCCTGGTTAGTCTAGAGAAGAGCAGACTGAGAGGGGATCTCATCAATGCACATCAGTATCTCAAAGGCAGGTGGGAGGAGGATGGCTCCAGACTCTTTTCAGTGGTGCCCAGTGACAGGAAGAGGAGCAACGGCCATAAACT